CCCCAAAACCCCAAAACCCCAAAACCCCAAAACCCCTGGGAGATATCCACACGTTGCAAACTGAATTATTTGTATTTTTCAAGCATTGGAGTGACCTTTTTGACAATGGATATCTCTTCTTCTTTGGAAAGTTCGCATGCTATAGGGGTAAGATGGGAGTTTGGGAGGGCTTACCTTTCCAATTTGCTTTTTCTCTGGCTTCAAGAAGCTCTCAGACCATTACTATTAAGGTAAAAATGTGAGCTTACCTCTTCCAAGTTGCATTAAGTGGTTAGTGTTGCTTTCTTTAGGAACTTTAACTAGCAATCTGACTTTTCCACGCCCTTTAGCTGTTCTTAAGCCTGGGTATTCAAAGTAGAGGTAATATTTCTCTGTCTCTCCAGCCTCGGTTTCTTCTCTAAAGGCTTCTTCAACAGGCCCACTCAATACTTCGAATTCGAGCATGCTTGCGCGGAGCATATCCTGAATCCTATCGTCTAGGTCATATGCACCTGGTGGAAGAGAAATCACTTGGAGATTCATGTGCATTGCATTTTCGAATTTTAAAGGCAAATTCCTCTCAAAAATGAAGTAATCATTCTCATCATGTTCTGTGATGAAGTCTGTTAGCATTTTCTTCGTTTTCTCCAGTTCATTTCTAGCTGATTCTGGAAGAGCAAGAGTCCCTTGGATATGATTTTTGGGTATTATTAAGAAATGATGATCGACTACAGGCCCTTTGGGGAGTGCAACATATAGCTCCTTTCCCACATTACAGATAAGGTGCCTCTCAATATCTTTGTTGTTAAAGCAGAACCAGCAAGTTTCATCACCAGTTTTGGTAGACTTCTTCGCTTGACGCTTTTTGTTGTATGAAATTGAGATTCTCCTACCTTGAATTCTGTATCTGTTAGAGTCTTCAACAGCAGCTTCTGCACAGGAGTCTTCGTTATATTTTATGATGGCGAATCCTCTGAATTTGCCAGTTCTGTTATCGTATTTCATATCTGTAATTAATTAAGCTAGAAAAAGTACCAATTTCTCTAATCTCGCCATATCTGGCACAGAAGTCTTTGAGATCGTTATAATCACATTTTCTCGGAAGATTGGCAACAAAGATTTCTAGAGGAGGTTAAACCATTGGAATACCGTTTCTAATCTCTTGGACACTCTCGTCGCTATCTTCATGGTCATCATCTTTTGTGAGCTTTCTCTCTTCCATGAGTTTAACCCCAAGTTGAAGCTTCTCTTGGATCAAGTAGTCATCACTATCACCGCCTTTAGGCGGGAGAAATGGGTTTCTTAGACCAGGGGCTAGTTTAGACTGATCAGTAGCACCTCCAAATTCGGTCTCAGTAAGTTCCTCAAGGGTCGAATGCACCAATGGCTTGATGCTCAGAGCGTGGAGGTACTTATCCTTGAATGCTGTTTTTGAGTCAGGATTTGGCAGACTACTCAGCGACACGAACCTCGTTGCGAACCCTTCGTTATTCATGAAGACATTTCTTTGGTAAAACAAGTCCTTTCCTCATGAAGAAGTTATGACATATCTTGGGCTAACCTTGTTAACCACCTGGGCTATCTTCGTTGAGAAATTGAAATATAAATCAGGAAACTCATCGCTCGTATATTTCAGGATGTTTATAGGCCACTGGTTGCAGAGGAAGAGATCAACACCTGGTTTTCCTGACTTTTCTACAATCTTTTTGTAATCTTCCAGTATCTTAGTGATATCTTCTGATGTGAAATGATTGCTAGTGTATTTCACATCGTTGAGCTCTTTGTTACCGTCCAGAATCTATGTTGAGAGGGAATTTACCATTGTTCTGTTTTCGTAGAGATCGTTATCTTTTCCGCTAAGATATGCAAGTCTGAACCCATTTTTGTCCTCAAATATTCCACTTCTCCCGAGGAAGGAGAAGTTTTTGAAAATTTCATGGCCTTCTGGCTTACTATGCATGAATGGACCAATCATTGGGGAGCTATTTATGAGTAAGGTTGCATCTGGGATATTTACCTATCGATGAATTTAACTTTTCATGACTAAAAATTATTGAAAAATTCCTTACTTCACTGAATTCTTTTTGCCCTTTGATATAGGGTTTGAAATCTACAACTTTGAATCCTTTATAAATACCGTTCATGGCTTTAGCCTCAGCTCCAAGTACAGATCCTACTCAGAAAATGTGGTCAAAATTGCCATTTTTCCTAAAATTATGAATTCTTGCTCAGCTCAAGATGCTTACTTGACAAGATTATTAAGAAATTTCTCAAGCTTCTCGATTTGCGATTTGGGGCTGCATTCCTTCTGTGCGATGCTACCTATGATAAGGATTCTTAAGCTCTGTGGTTCCATATTTATTAATAATTTTCTAGCTTGACCAAATATTAGGGGTTTTGGGGTTTTGGGGTTTTGGGG